GTTTTAGTTACATTCGTTTTTTCCCCCAGGGGGGGGGGGGGGGGGTGATAAGAATCCTCTTTTGAGTTTAACCTCCTAAACTGGTAAAAGGTTCCTTAGAACTGCTCATCAGTTCATAGGGGGGCAGTTTCCCACCTTACCCTTGCTGACCTTCATTCAGGTAGTGAGTAGGAACCAATGAGTTCTTAAACCGTCTTTGGCAGCCTTTAATATGAAATATGAAATTATTAAAATAAGACAGCTGAGTCTGAGCTTTCAATTAGACAAAGGGAGCTAAAAGAAAGTGTCTTCAATAAGCTCTCTCTTTAGCTAACCCATATAGTGCTCTTAGAATCCTTTGTCATTTACTGAATGTTAATTAAAAGATTGCATATAGATAGTAAAAAAACAAACAGATAAAGAACACAAGTTTCAAAACTAAAATAAAATGTGCATGTCCACCTTGGAGATCAAACAATAGAACCAAAACTCTGCATTCTCCTTACATAAATAAAACTTTATCTTTCTTTCTTTCTTTCTTCATTTTTAAGTAAATTTGAGACAGGTACAGAGAGAAATATAAAGGCTGCTATTGCTGACCTGCTTTTGAAAATGATAGCCTGCATAGTTAATTTCTTCTTATACATACCATTTAGGTGTGTGAGGGGTGGGGGGGATTTCCTTACATACATTTCATTTTGACACTTGGTAATTTTCTTACATAATAGTTTAGGAGCTGGATAGCACAATGTCACTGGACTCAGCTTTGACTCGATTATATGAATTTCCAATTTTGTGAGAATGAACCAAATTCCATTGTATTATTTTTTTCTTTGGAACTGAATTATATGGCATGGGTAAGCAGGGGTATCAGACTATATACAGCTCTGAGAAAGAGGTGGAGCAGGCAGTGCTCTGTGTACAGCTCTACAGACTATGCCAGTGTTTGGTAATGATGATGATAATCATTTTAAACTGCTAACTGCTATTACAGCAGCAAGGCACAGCTGCTGAAATGTATTTCCAATGACAATGTTGCCATCTTGTGGTAAAAAGTGAAACTGCAGTTGAAGATAACTGCATACAAGGACACCGGGGCCTAGACAGATGATCCTCATCGTAGATTTGTAAGTACAGACATGCAGATGATTCCTTTATGGCCCCATGACAAGCTATGAACTAAGATTCTCCATGTGATGTTAGCATAATTGACAACAGTTCCTATATTTTAGGGGACAATACTGGGTTTTACAGAGTTTACATGGACACTAATCAGTTTCACAATAAAATGTCTGTTCTTTTGGCTGATAAATGGAACTTTTGATATTAACTTATTGAATGCACAGTATAGGTTTTTTAAAATATATTTTTTATTTTACTATGTTAAGAAATAAAAAAATGTTTCAAATATGTCTTGTCAGCAGGTCACACCCAAGGCTTCTTTCCCCATTTACCATGTAAATCTTTACTGCTTTGCTAAAAAATGAAAAAAATTAAATCTTGTTGTGTAGAGAGATCAATAGTGAAAGCTATGATTACATATGGCCGAATGAATCAGATGAGTGGCTGCTTTTCCCTTCCTCCCACCATTCTTTTTGCTCTGTACAATTACATACAGACTTTCAATTAGAGAGAGACTGTCTGAAAGCAGCCACCTCCTGCTGTGCATCCTCTTTTTAAAAAAATTTATATAACAAAGTTTTTTTTGTTAGAAATACAAGTTAACATCAGAAAAATAGTTGAAAAACAATTGAAGAAAGGTACAAAAGAGCCCAAATTTATAACACTATATGTAAAAAAGAAAACCAGTGTCTGAGCACATTAAGATGCATGATGCTGTCCATCCACATAATGCGATTACGTCGAACGTAAAGGTCTTGACTCGGAAATAAAAGGCTCCAGTAACAAAGTAAAAACAGTGAAGCGCCACGGACTGTCAGTTCTTAATAGGACTTGCTTTTAGGCATACTGCAGGATGCTGCCCCAAAGAAGCCGGGAAAGCTGGAAATCTAGGAAATAAGCACAAGAGGGGCGCCTTTCCTGGTGCAGATCACTTTTATTTCAATAAACATAAATAGAAAACCGAATCATACTCACAAACATGAGTGTCACAAAGTCATGAAGTGAGGACTGACAAGCAGTGAGATGTCCACTAGGTGATACCAGTATAGTGGTGACGTTAACGCGTTTCACAGAACATGATGTTCTGATGAAGGGGGCGTGCCCCGGAAACGCGTTAACGTCACCACTATACTGGTATCACCTAGTGGACATCTCACTGCTTGTCAGTCCTCACCTCATGACTTTGTGACACTCATGTTTGTGAGTATGATTCGGTTTTCTATTTATGTTTATTGAAATAAAAGTGATCTGCACTAGGGAAAGGCTCCCCTCTTGTGCTTATTTCCTGGAAATAAAAGGCTCTCTGATGTGCTTCCTCTTTTATAAGCCCATGCTGCTCTGTCTCATAGTTGAAAAAACATATACGAACCCATCGCACTCCAGACCGGTGAGAAACCCAGAAAAATCGGGTGGGGGCTAAAATGACAGCGGATGCCTCCGCAAAAGTAATCCAGGTAAAGAGAAGTCACTAGCACTCCAGTATAAAAGCAAGTCAATATTTATTGACTAAAAGGTGTCACATCATCACAGGCGACGTTTCGGAAGCAAGTGGTTGCTTCCTCAGGCAAAGGAAGGAATCACTTGTTTCCGAAACATGGCCTGTGATGCTGTGACACCTTGTAGTCAATAAATATTGACTTGCTTTTATACTGGAGTGCTAGTGACTTCTCTTTACCTGTGTCATGGTTGGACCCCAAGTCAGAAGTTGATTTGTAAAATAAAGATTTTTGATTTGAAAATAAATAGAAATGAGAAATAAATAACAGTTTAAAGACAAAGAAAATCCCCCCAAAACAAAAGAAAATAGTCCCTTTACATTGAAGAAACCTGTACTGAAAGCAATATATAACCTGCCATTGCTGAATGACAATGAACATCTGAACGTTGCATGACTCTCAAGTAAATGGAAATCTCACAACTGGCAAAGGTGCCGGGCGGTTCTAACCCTTTCCCACTTCAAAAAGCATCAGAAAGGTTTGGCTTATATATACTTATATAAACATAGGAAATATGCAAAGGTGATTAGCTTCATGTAAAATAATGTTATTCATGTGTGTCAGTGTTTCTATGCATAGTACATAATTGGGGGCAGCCATATTTGCTGTGCTTCTTGTTTAGTCGTGCTGCTCAGTAATGGTGCCTTGCCCACATCTTGGTGATACTTATTCTATTTGTTTCAATGTAGAAAATTTCTGCAGTACGAAGAAAAAGAAAGTATATTCACCATGGATCACTTCCCCTTGTGGTATCGGCGGGCGGCAGAACATACTCCGGGGAGCTTCGTCTTCCATGTGCCCACTGACGACAGCCCTGGTAATATTTGTAGGCCTTTCTAGACTCAGATACTCAGCTAATGTTCAGTAGACAATCGCGGTAATTGTAATCATGTTGTTAGAGTTTGACATGTCTTCTGTGTGTAACAGTCTTCCGGGCGCCATATGTTGTAGCAATGCATGAGATCAATTTGATAATAGGATAGAAAACATTTAAAAAGAAAGTGAATGCAACCATCACATCTAAGGACCGGCAAGCCGCTATATTAGATTATTATTCTTGGGTTTTGATGTGATTTAAAGTGAGGCTCCAGGCAGTCAGCTAAATAGACGTGTTCACTGTTTTACACGGTGATGGTTCTGTAGGTCAGCACAACCAGGCAGATGACACACATAACCATGGTTTCTGCAAATCCTCTTCCTGTGTCACCTCTTCACTTCCTGCTTGGGCAATTAATCATTCTCATTATCTATCAGCAGGAAACTGATCCAGTAAGCAGGACACCTGAATGTAGCTGAGTGATCTTCCTGGGGGTGTTTAAATTAGGAGACTGATCGCACAGAATTATCAATCCTTTATAACACATGTGTCAAACTCAGGGCCCAGGGGCCGAATCCGACCCACCAGGCCATTTCCTAGACTTCTACTTTCAGATCTATGTATTAAGTTATTACTAAAACCAGTGATAATCGAATGCAGAGGCAATTATGATAAAGATTAGTCACATTTATATAGTCTTACAGGCCCTTTGAGGGCAACCATAATGTTGATGCGGCCCACGATTAAATTGAGCTTGACACCCCTGCTTTATAAGGTGAAACAGTTCATATACAACATAGGTAGCTCATCTGTGTATTTAGCTGTTTGCCTGGAGATTCACTTTATGGCCTCATTCACACTGGAATCGGCCAGGACGTACATCTCTGTGCTGCATGCAAGGCTGTATTGGGCAGCTCCTGGGAAGGAAGGTGCTGCGTGTGATTAGTATGCTGCCCCCGTCCTTCTCTCTGGGAGTACACGGCCATACGCCGCCCTACGCTCAGCCGCCCTGCACGTCCGCACGGGTGTCTGTACTCGTACGGTGACAGGATGGATCCTGTCTTCATCCGAGCCGGGACACCCGCACCCATACGGACCTGCACTTGGGGTGAGCGTAGGGTGGTGTATGGCCGTACGTGCCGGCCTTTGCTCGTGTGAAAGAGGCCTAAGGGCCAACTGAACTTGGGCTATAATAAAGAGAAGCTCTGTGAATTAAACATGTTTAAAACATGAATGAGCAATATGGTCACTGGAGGGACTACAAGTCCCAACATCTCCTAAGTGCTAAGATTTGTAAATCATGCAGAACTTGAGTTCCACTGGGTTGGTTTTCTCTTAGGGTCCACTTACACTTCTGCAAGTAAACTTTTTATGTATTTTATGTGTTTTATTTTTTCATGCTTTATTTTGCAGTGTAAACATTGCGGTCATTCATTTTTGTGGAAGGGGCGGGGTTACTGATTGTGTGTCTGAGGCATGATCCTCAAAAACACAATCACAAGTCACATAGTGTTACACTTAGGGGTGTATTTAAAAAACAATTTGCAGAGCTATTCGTCCTGTGAAATTGCATGTACATTAGTTCTGTGTGAATGGAGACACAAACGAATGTCATTTGTATATTTTTCTTTCCAGTTCGAACGTTATTTCTGGAAAATACTGCGTTATGGCCAATAGAGGGAGTGTAATTGCATGTGCATTCATTCTGTGTGAATGGAGGCAAAAAGGAATGTTATTAGTATATTTTCTTTACAGGTCGAATGTTTTATTAGGTAAATATTGCATTATGGCCACTAGATGGAGCATAGAAAATACTTATTTCATATGCTCATCATCTTCATCTAGTGGCCATATATAGTTATTTACATGATATTACATGCGACCTGGAAAGAAAATATGCTAATAACATTATTTTTTGCCTCCATTGGCACAGAACGAATGTACATGCGATTTCCCAGGAGGAATGGCTCTGCGATTCATGGTCTATTGCCCTTGTGGTACCATTCAGTCATAAGAAAAATGTGGTTCTCCCAATCTGAAGCAAGCAGGATTTTTGAAGAAGATGTAAACACAATCACTGAAATCTCATATAGGGGCAATTCATTAAAGCTTGAGCTCGGGAAAAAGTATTTTTAGCAGTTGCCCATGGCAACCAATCAGCTTCTCTCTTTCATTTTCGAAGCTTAACTGAACAAACTGAAGAGAGAAGCTGATTGGTTGCCATAGGAAAACCCATCTGCTCCCATTTTCATGAATTCCCTCCATGTTTGTACTGTAATAATGTTGCAATAATTTTTTCCCTCTTTCACTGAACTGGCAGCTGACGCTGTGTCGGCGGCAGTGCTGTTCTCTGTCAACCTCCTTAATTCCCTCTTCCAGATCATAACCCCAGAGACAATGACATCGCCGAGCCCGCCATCCAGGCGCGTAGTTGGGAGGAGCTGATCCCTGAGGGTACCTGAACAGGACTTATGTGCATGAGTGCTGTTCCATAAAACAAAACTCCCACAGCAACATCTTTTATATCATTTAGATTTAGCGTTGCCATTGTCACCCCCCCAGCACCCACCTACGACATTGTGCCATACACCACCCATGCATTCCACTCATGGGGGGGAATGGGGCCTCTACCGGCTCTGCCACCCAGAGCCACGACATCAAAAGGCTTGCGGTTGCTCCTTTTGTGATGTCATCATCATGGCTGCTGTCCTGCCAGGCTCGTGTAACACATGCATGTTTCATGCTGAGAGGCATAAAATAAATTTGCTCTGTGCTCTGCTCTCCCGGACTTTAATTTGAACCGATTGGTTCTTGATTAGGGGCTGCGTCCCAGATTGTAGCTCGCCAGAAGCAATTAAAGTGCGTCATACTCTTTTCATATCACCCATCATGATAAAGCGTCACCGAGCACAGCCAATCGCAATGCCAATGGTTGTATTTTTATTTGATTTTTTTTACGGTTTTTCATTACTTGCTGTACATAGTTTTTAGATATTTATTCTGTAAGTTCAGCTAACGTGTGAAACTACCAAACCTCAAAGTATAGGAATTAAAGAAGAACTCCGGGCAAAACTTTTATTAACCCTTGTGGTGGGGCTACCTCCGCACTGCAAGGGTTAACGACTTGTTTTTATCTAGGCGCTAAGGGTACGTTCACACCAGATGCAGTGCATTCCAGCCCGGTTCTGGTCACCTTGTGCCTGCGGTCCGGTCAGATCAAAATAGTGCTGGCAGCATTTTGACCAGACCGCAGGCACAATGTGCCTTGCGATCCCATGCGGCCGATCGCATTACGGCCGGTGGGCGTGGCTACGGTGCCATTCACTTCAATGGCCCGCCACGCCCCCTCCTGTCCCGCAAAAAGTGAGCCGGGCCTCAATGCAATGCAGTGCGTTCTGGCCAGAATCGGGCCTGAACGCACTGCATCTGGTGTGAACCTAGCCTTAGACTGGTTCTTGAAGCCTCGCTGCCCCTCCACTGTAGAGGTCTATGGTTCCTCAAGACATACCATCCAATACGCACAGGGGGAATGTATCAAAACTGGAGCAGGGAGAATCTGGAGCAGTTGCCCATGGAAACAAATCAGCATTTCTCTTCAGTTTGCTCGGGTAAGATTTTAAAATGAGACAGAGAAGCTAATTGGTTGCTGTACAAATCCGCTCCAGATTTTGTCTGCTCCAGTATTAATAAATGACCTCCACTGTGTATTGGACTTAAGGATGCCGAGTGACACTATATCACTGCAGCGTAGGAGGATAGAGGCTGGAGGGAGTGCTGTAGCAGCCGGCTGGCCCCGAGGTTTCGGGTGGGTATAACTTTTTTTTATTTTAGCACTTAAATAAAAATGAGCACCTAACCCTTACCCGGGTTAGACGGGATTGTGCTACTTCTTTTTTAGCTGATAATATGCCCTTTGCTGTAAAGTGAACATGTGATTGGCGCTATACAATTTTACTTGACACAGATACATTAGTTTCTGTCACATGGAACACTCAGAACTTTCACATGACAGCTGAGGGCTGTGTAGGATTCAGAGCCCTTAACTGAAATCAGCCAATTCTGAGATAGATTAGCTTCTGTCAAAACCATTGCCATAGACCTCTTACCAGTTCTTTGATCTTTCCATAGAGCAATCTAGGGCTGCCTAGGGTCCGAGCCTCTATTTGAAATGATCTGTGCTGGGATAAACTGGATGCCGGCGAACAAGCTGCCATATATACCTTTTGCAGTTCTTTGATTCTCTTTGGCAAACTGCAACATTCAAAACTTCCACAGGACAGCCTTGGGCTGTTTAGACTCTGAGCCCTTATCTTGAACGACCCATGCTGAGATGGACTGGCTGCTGGCAAAACTGCTGCCAGAGATACCTATTCTGTTCCTTGATTCTTCTATGGCAGTTTACAACTTTCAAAACTTCCCCAGGACAACTTAAGGTTGTTTTGAGTCTGAGCCCTTATCTGAAATGAGCCTTTCTGGGATTCACTGGCTTGCCAGCAAATTTATACCCATTCAGTTCTTATCTGTGTCAGTGCTCAGCATTCGAAGATTCTACAGAACAGCTGAGGGCTGTGTCGATGTTCTATCAAAGTTTGTGACTGCGTTAGAATGTGTGACCAGTGACGTGGTCACACATTTTAACCTAATCCCGCCCAGTTTTTCGGCAGTGGAATGTGTGATCGGTCACAGATTTTAACATAATCACGCCCACTTTTACTGCGTTCAATATGTGAACAGCAAAAGGTGAAGAATTCCAGCTGTTCCAGGGCAGATCGGCATCACGGATGGGTCACTGGTGCAGGAGAACCAATCTGCCCTGTAACAGCTGATCGGTCCTGAAATGACACTTCTATCCAACTATGTGAGTGCGATCTGACATTTCACAAAGTCGGATACAAGTGACATTTACGGATCTGCCCTGGAACAGCTGAGAAAGCTTTGGAATTCTTCAACTTTTGCCGGTCACATATTTTACCGCAGAAAAAGTGGGCGTGATTGCGTTAAAATGTGTGACCACATGACCGGTCACACATTCCATGGCTGTCACAATCTTTGATAGAACACCGGTTCTGAGCCCTTAACATAAATCCGCTATGCTGAGATAGATTGGCTTGGCTGCTGGCAAAACCGCTGCCATAGGTACCTATTTGGTTCTTTGAGTGCCTGTGGCAGTCTATGGTGATCAGAAGCTTCCTTTTGTTATTTTTCAAATGTATTTTGCTCCGCCGTAGTGGCGCCGTGTTCTGTATTTACCTCCATCTGTTCTCTCCCCTCTCTGCAGTCACAATCCCATTTGAATCCCAGTGTTTTAAGTCAGTTTGCGATGTCATGTTTTTTCGTGTCGCTCGTTTTGACAGCCGTCGAGCTGCCTTGTGATGATAAATCTTTACATGCAGTAATTACCATATCCTTTGAAGATTACATCTGCACACATGAATCCGCTTTGCTCCGTCACGCAGTGGGAGTGGTGCCGCGTTTCTGTTTATGCAACCAAAAATGTTCAGTTTAAACCAGATTTTTTTCCCCGATTCCATGTTAAAGGCATCATCTTTGCTGACTTAGATGCAGGAACTAGACCGGTACCGTTTTGCTCGGACGCAATGCTCAGATGAGGCAGCTTATATAGGAAACACTGTAAGAAATGAAGCGCCACACCGATTAAAATAGTCCAGATGCAACTTTATTCCATTAGGGTTAAGGGAAATTCAAAAAGGGTATCCAACGCGTTTCAGGGGTCCAAAACACACCACCTTCATCAGGGATGTGGTGGGAGTACTATAGGTTTGCCAGAAGCTGGTATGGCAGCAACATTTTATAGTGGACGGCAGAGGCGTATCTACAAAAAATTGCACCCCTGGGCTGGGCAGGACGCCAGCCAGAGCATAACAGGTTGCTACGAGCCATGTGGGGAGATGTGTAAAAGCCATACACATCTCCACGCCTGGCTCTTGCAACCTGCGATGCTCTAGCTGACAACCCTGACCACCTCCTGGCAACTAATGACGTCACTGGTTGCCAGGATCTGGGCGGGACGCCAGCCAGAGCATTCAGCTTGCATACACATCTCTCCGCCTGGCTCTGGTTGCTAAGATCCGGACGGGGAGATGTGTAAGAGCCATACACATCTTCCCACCTAGCTCTTAGCAATGTGGGGCGCTCTGGCCGGCGTACTGTTCAGCTCCTGGCAACCACAGACGTCAATGGTTGCCAGGAGCTGGGCGGGACGCCGTCCAGAGCATTCAGCTTGCATACACATCTCTCTCCCTGCTCTGGTCAACTAGGGTCACTGGTTGCCAGGAGTTAGGCAGGATGCCCGCCAGAGCAGCCCTGGTTGGTAAGAGCCGGGTGTGGAGATGTGTATGGGAGAGGAGTGGGAAGAAAAAAAAAAAATCAGCTTTCTTTGCCCCCCCTTCAGGTGGTGCCCAGGGCATGTGCCATACCCTGGGTACGCCAGGGCATATCCTACACTATAGCTCGGGATGATAAAAAAATAAATAAATAGAAAAGGCACATTATGGGTCCAGAGATCTACAGTGGTCACCATTAGCAAAATGGCAAATCAGTATTACTTTGCCCCGACAACCTGGTATAGACATGGAAGAGGGGTGTTTGGTGCTGATCCTGCCCAGGGTGGCCCTTTGCATCTAATCAGGAAAAGGTATGTGTAGGTTTTAAGGGGCCAACTTAAAGTGCATGTCGCACCTAAACCTTTTTCTTTGTTTTAGATGTATTAGGGAAGAATTAGAATCTGTGTCTGTTTTTTTTCTGCTATCTGGAGCTCTGGTTTCTCCTTATGTCCTGTCCTGCTGACAACATTTTACCAGACAGGAAGTGAGGGGAATTCTGCAAAAGCAACAACGCTAACAGAACTCAGACATAAATGAAAATACTTTTCTTTGGTAGTAGGGGAAGGCTAGAACCCCTGTCACATTTTTATTACTGTCTGTGTTGCAGATTTTACCTCACTTCCTGTATGCTAAAAATGTTGTCACAGACAGACAGAAGTCAGGTAGAAGCTCTCTAACGGTTTCCCGGATAGCAGTAAAACATGATGAGGGGATTTATCAAAACTGGAGCAGACAGAATCTGGAGCAGCTGTGCATAGCAACCAATCAGCTTCTAGCTTTTATTTTCAAAACTTAACTGAATGAACTGGAGAGAGAAGCTGATTGGTTGCCACAGGAAACTGCTCCAGTTATGATAAATTCCTCCTGATGAGTTTTAGGCATTCTGCACTATATACAAAACTAAAAATTAAGATTTAAGATTAGGTTTGATTTTGGGAATCTCAGGGGATCATTTATAAAAGTTCACCTGGCAGATGCCGTTTGCACACCATTATAGCCCCTAGATGGTGCTGGCGGGTATAGGAAATTCCTATAGAACTTTTCATTACTTAGCCCTTGATAAATCTAGAGATTGTAAAGAAAATAAACAATCAGATGTGTGCGGCCATCTTTAGGTTCAGGTGAAGGTTAAGGGTTACGGGCCATGTGGGGAGACATTTTATTTAAATACTTGTTCTTGGCAGCAAAACCCTCTTGCTGAGGAATATCAGACAATGAAAACCTACTCGTCAGCTCAATAGGGTCTTATGTGCTGCCCATAGCGAGGAAATTCCAGCATGTCTGTGGAGTAGGAAAATTAAAATGAAGGTTTGGTATTGGCTTCATAATTTTATAGGCCTCAGCTGAAGTACGTTTTTCCTGATTCTTTTTTAGCGATCATGAGACCTTCTCCTCTCAGTGTAGGTAGCTTCCATTTACTTTGCTCTTCTTCTCAAGCCTCACCTGTCCTGTCTCCATTCTGCTCTCCTACGAGGCCTACCATTACTCACCTGAGGTGTCCGGTCTCCATTCTGCTCTCATACCAAGCCTCAGTTTAGGTGTCCTATCTCTATTCTGCTCACCTGCCAGGACTCACCCTATGGTGTTCTGTCTCCATGCTAACCTCCTTCCAGGCTTTACCTGAGGTATCCTGTCTCCATTTTATCCTCATTCCAGGCCTTCCCTGAGGTGTCCTGTCTCCATTCTGTCTTCATTCCAGGCCTCACCTGAGGTGTCCTGTCTCCATTATGTTCACCTATAAGCCCTTTCCTGAGGTATCCTGTCTCCATTCTGACCTCATTCCAGGCCTCACCTGAGGTGTCCTTTCTCTTTTCTCTCCTCCTGGTTGGCTTCACTTTTATGCAGTCTGGTTGCTTTCGCTCCGACTGCATCTCGGGGGCAGTGAGCATTGGTGACTTCCCTATAGTTTGAAAATTGTCTTTTTTCAACCTGACTAACTATGTAACTATGTAAGAACCTTTTCTGCAATTTTGCTTTAATTTTGTAGTAATCGCGCAAGCACAGCAATCATCACGTTTACATGCATCCTCTACAAGACATGGTGGCAGAAATCATGGCCTCCATCATCACCAAATGGCCAACAATGCACACCTTTGGCCTTTTGTCACACTCCACTCATGATGGTGCCGTACAATGCCTGTTGGCTTTTATTTAGCAGGGCATGCTCCATCTCCTGTTCTCAACCTTCCTGGTATACATGGTTCCGGGGAGGCTGTGTAGTCCTAGTAGACCAGCTGAACAGAATCCTTTCTGCGCATTTTTACACTGCCAGCCAAATGCAAGAGGGGCAGAGAATCAGAAGACATTCCAGAAGCAAGACGGATATTAACTTTGATATTATGTCAGGCTTGAGAAAAAATTCTGTTTGATATCTGGGTCACCTACTCAGGTGTTGGGGCGACTCATGGCCTTGGATAAGCTATTGTCCTAAAACAAATATTGGAAAACAAAGCTTCACCACCTTAAATAAGACTGCCAGACTGGCTGTTACCCATTGCAGATAAAACCCCCATCCATCAATGGAATCTGCAGTTGCGCCACAGCTTATGATGCTGCAAACCAGAGCATCGCCCCAGAGCTACCCCTGCCTCCAGCATTGGATAGGAGCCTCTGCCGTGCAGCCATTGTGAAAGGGTCCCTTTGAGTACCTGGTCCGTCTGGATAACGACAGTCAGCTATATCACAACTGTGGCTGATAGTTTTTTGTGTTCTTACAGATGCCAACGCCAAGCCACAAGTCGTGACTGTTAGCACCGCCGTCGCCGTCACCGTGCACAACAAGACTGCAATCGCTGCAGGTAGGATGCTATTTGGATTATTGGATATCATTGGTGGCTTTTTTGTTTCATATTTTAGACAAAGAAGAAAGTTTGGGGATTTACTTGATACCTTTTATTGGCTAACTTGAAGCTGAACTCCAGGCAGATATAAAAGACACGCAATAATGCCGCTCTGTGATCATTAATACTTCATTACATTTATTTTCTTCTCAATGCAAGCAGGTTAGGTGCCTGACTGCGACCAGGTATCAGCCTATTGCAGTCCCTGTATAGCAGGGCTGGAGTGTAAGAGGAAGAAGCAGGACAAGGAGCCAGTCAGTTCATGTGCTGATAGGGAGGGAGAACAGAGTGGCTGAGTGATGAGCTAATCACTGTTCTTCTCATTTCACTGCCCAGTCACAGGCAGGGGGTGAATCTATGACAACCTGAGCTTAGAGGAAGTAGGTTCAATGATTCTGGCCATTAGACTGAGGACATCTAGTGGCAGAAAAAGAGTACTGAGGGGCAAATCTTTGAACTGAAGCTGAATATTGCATCAAAAGCTGGTTTTGTTGTTTTATCTTCTAATGGTCTATTAATTTGTATGTTGTTGTTGTTGGCTGAAGTTTGACTTTAAGTTAATAAAAATGCAAGCTTCTGGGACTTGGGTCTCTTGCACAGGCGTTCTAGAACAGTATGATGTTTGAGGATGGGGCCCAAGTCCTGAAATATCTTATTGCTGATAACTTTTGTTTGCCACTAAAGGATATCATTTAATCTCCAACCTTTCTGCATGAATTAATGGCTAATAGGATACAAGACCTTATCACTGTGTTATTTCTATAAATGTATAATGTATATGATATCACAGTGCTCACAGCAGATTAGCAATGGATGTTAAAATTATGTTGGGTTGATATTTTCTGTATGTGTTCATGTCAGTCGTACAATTCCACTAAGAGAATGAATGAATCTGTCGTCATTTATTATCAGAATGAAAATGAACATATAGGCAGGATGTGCAGCTAGTCCTTCCTATATCAGTTGGATATTTGTGGTGCCGTATTCTGGGTGGTTGCACTGGAGCAGTACAAGGTTTGCTGGCTGTGGCTGCACTTCAGTCCACTGATCTTGCATCCCCACAATCCATCTGAAAAATTATTTTGCCTTAAAAAAAAACCTCAATGAATCTTCTGCACACTGCTATACGCTCTTACATACTTGTTGCAAACTTTTCTAACTTGTGCATATAAGCGGGGATTCTTGGTTTACAGACTGGGCAGCTGCGTCAAAGTGATCCATCTCTTGACAGTCCCCACTCTACTAATTGCCAAATACTTGCTCATAGCATACAGTGCCAATGTGGGGTTACCTGACACTGGTGATCACATCCCTTTACATCCCCACACACTGTGTGTTTGTGTTTATATATATAATTTGGATATTCATTCTCTTCCCGTCAATCCATCTGTGGTCTAAGGTGCTGTCCCCAAGTTAAAGGCGGTAGTGAATTCTTTTGCCACCAGGGGGAGCAAGACTGTCCTTTTTCAATGCTTCGGATTCAGAGTTGTTATTGACGCACAATGAAAAGTGAACTGATTAAAATGACAATGTAGTCACTTTCTGGCTAGGTTCACACATAGGCGATTCAGATGTTTTGCCAGCAATCGAAAACGCGCAACAATCACACGACTGTTCATTGCAAACCAAGTGGTTATCACACAGTTTTCAATGCATAGAGATGTCTATGGGACCCAAACCACGCAACCACCGGCCGAAAATCGCTCCTGCACCTTTCTGCAAGACAGGCGATTTTGACCGCACGACAAACCGCAAAGGTGTGAACAGACTTCCTTGACTTCAATGTAAATCTGAGTTTTGCGCGATATCGCGCAACCCAATCCGAGAGATCAATCGCCTAGGTGGGAACCTAGTCTAAAAGTGTGTAAGAATACGTTTCCTGACAAGTCACATTATACAGCAACAGTATTATTTTCCAGAAAGCCCCTCCTTTTATTGTTAAAAAGCAATTCTTGATTTCCAGCCAGTGACTCCTAGGCTGAGATGGTGTCCATGGTCTGCTGCAGGCAGGAGGAAGTATTTCCTCAGACTCCTCTCCCCCCAGTGATCTGCAATATTGTAACTATGTAGCAAGTCACAAGGTGAGAGGCTGATCTGTGTCATAGGCAAGTGTAGATGTCAGCTGTCCTCAATACAGCGCTGCGACCAAGTTAAGTAAGGTAGTGCTCATAGTGGCAGTCATTGATGGTGCCGTGTGCATCCACAAAATATAATGAAAAGAAGTCAGCAGCACTCAGCACTTAATGATGCAAAAGTACTCGGGGGTGACCTTACTATGGTCACTATGTAGCACTGGGAAGGGACCCTGTACGGCCATGAAACATTGGCTTATTTGACTAATGGAATGTATTATTAAAGTGACTGCTGGTGACTTCTCGTTATCTTCTGCTGATCTGTGTCAGACTTTTGTGAACACAGCCAAGAACTACAGAGACCCCAGGATTGACATGGCTACATTGTCTCTGTGCTGTCATCTTAGTCCAGGAAGTAGATGGGGACCCTGGATGATGCCCAAACAAAGATGGCTCCGTCCTTCTGGAGAGAAAAGCAGATGAAGGCATTGTCAGGGGGAGTACTGTGATCTCTATTAGAGGGAAGACCGTGACTTATTACATAGCATGCCTACATTTACCATGATACTGAATAAAGGATCAATTTAAGAACAAAGTAAAATTCAGACCTGGGTGGATGTAAAAGATCGCTTCAAGTGCCACTACTTAGAATATCCATGCCATCTATTTTATATTTTATTTAAGTTTTCTATGTTTATTTGAAAAATTTGTAGTAAAGACCAGGCTGTCACATTCCAAATAACAGGGGTTTTATTGCAGAGCCGAGGGGCAAAACTCCAAACTTGGGACTGTCCCTAGAGGTGTTGGACCCTTGGCCACAATTCCTCTTTAATGAGCCTCCATATTTGTCTTGGTTGTGTAGCTGCTCCCTTGCATGACAATAACAGAAGAGGATTTTGTCCCCTAAAGTGCACATTTGGCACACTGAGCTGCGACAGTAGATGACAGGTCGCCGATGGGGCAGTATGTGACCGCACAGGGCGACCTTCATTAGCGACACCACTGATGAAGTGTGACAGGTCCCAGATTGAGAGGTGACCTCCTGTGTTATTATCCCCAAAGGGGGCTCATTCTTCTAGTGATGTCTCTATAGTGTTCTGTATCGCTGTATCTTGTTACTCTATAAAGATATATTCACTGTTACTTTACATTGAAATGTCTTGATATGCTTCCCACATACAGAGAGACCGGGGGCACAACTTAAAGCTGAACTCCAACCAAACCTTTTTTTTAAAGGTTTTAATGAAGTGAGGAAGTTAGAACCCCTGCCAGGTTTGTGTCTTCATTAATGAATCCTCTCCAATGAGGCTGCAGACAGCAGCAACAAAAAAGTGTTCTTATTGCCATCTAGGTCTTTGCTGGAAAGATTTTCCTTCATGGTGACCATCATCATCTGGACAGGAAGTGAGGGGAAATCTCGCCAGTGTGCACACAGACAGAAAAAAAAAATGTAATGAAAATTTAAAAAATTATGTGCAAAGTCCAAAATAGTATTTTAAAACCGATAATCTGTTTTCAATGGTTGGCCCTGCTGAGAATGCTCTTGTCTGAAAGGGTCCCCTTAACTGGGGTACCCCAAATCAGAATCCAGAAAGATAGAAAAAAGGGCACCAAACCACCAAGGAATCAAAGGAAGCTTTAATTGTTTATCATGTAATTGAAGAAAATAACGCGTTTCCAACCCTTCCCAACTCAAGCTTTAGCTGGAATCTGGCTTTAAAGAGACCTCCAAAGAGTCACCAGACCATTCATTTGAACAACAATCTCCCAATAAGATTATATGTGCATTTACCATATTTTATGCATTTTGGTTACCTGTAAAATGCTCACTTGTATAGACATCCAGAAGCCTTGAGACTGCTGCAGGGCGCCACCATCTTGGATGTGATGTCAGGAGGCTCAGATCTCAGACTGGTCACTCAGGTGACACTCTATAGTCAGACTTCGGCCCCCCAGCTGTGCTGAAACTACAAGTCCCATGAGGCATTGCAAGGCTTTGACAGCCACAGGCATGACTCCCAGAGGCAGATGCATGAAAGGATTTGTAGTTTCACCACGGCTGGAGGGCCGAAAGTTTGCCTAATCTGGCTCTATAGTATTTCCATTGACTTCTTCCCCAGCAGCCACATAAAAGGCTGTGAAGGGAGGTGAGGGGCAGAGGAGCAGGGCCAGAACAGACAATAAAGAGACACTCCCAGAGGAAGAGTCGTGCAAGGATGGAGGGGGCTCTCCTAGGGAAATTGACTCTTTCTGGAGTAGTCAAATTTTCTAGCAAGTTCAGAGGCACATTGCAAGTTAATGAGCAATATTTTATAGAAAGGAAAAATGCTTCAATTGTTTCAGTTGGTGACAGGGTCTCTTTTATGTTACAAGGAGCTCTTCACACAAACTATTTATTTTTTCTAGATTCACTTATCCCATACTCTCTATCTCCACCTGGGTTTTCTCTCTCTCTCTCTCTCTCTCTCACATAGCCTGGTGGCTGAGAACAAATTGGCAAGGTTCCAGGCAGGGTTCCTCCAAGCCATGTCCCAGATGCTGAGGTTATAGGCCGCCAGGCTGACGGTGTGTGAAATCCTGCTGCCTGGCACAGATAGCTGACGTGATGGCTGAGTGCTGGCTGCAGGCTGTGCTGCTCCCACCGCTCTCTGGCTGTCACTTCCTATCAGATATACATTCCTGGCGTGTGCCAGCTTCCCTGCCGCCCTGTATGTGTGTTATGTCAGGATTAGGCTCAGGAGGGAGAGGAAGCCTTCAGTGGAAAGAGCATTAGCAGGGGGCCCTTACCTGTCTCAGGAGCTTCAAGCTGCAGTGCTCACCTTAAACATGAATCTAGATAGAAAGGTGCCAGTGTGTAACATGTCTGGAACCCCAAGCGCATCATTC